GATGGGTATATCAACCGACAGCATTCGTGAATGAAGTTGAAACATGTAAAGCCACAGAGAATACATGAAAATTAATCTTTATTAATTTAAATTATCTAAAGGTCATTCTGAGAGAATTAAAATGAAGGACTTTGATATTAAATAAACAGTCAGCAGGATCATTGAATTCAAATGTGCACCAACGAGAAACTCGTCTAAAGAGACATTCAAGTAGTAAAGTCGAATTATTGTTAATGCCTAATTTCAAGAGACTCATTATTTTCACATTTCCTCTAAAATCAATCTGAATTCACTTATTATTCATATTGTTTGGTTGTCTTCGTTAATTTTGTTCAAATCTTTGCGCGAGATCATAATGTCTTCGAGACCCTTTCAAAAAACGTATTGATGAAATGCACAGAAGAAACATATTATAATGATAATAACGAATTCATTGCTGGACGTAGAGGACTACGAGTAGGCTTATGATAGGATCAGAAACTCAACAAAACAAAGTTGCACACACATATTTTGGTTTATATTCACGCCTTTGCCATAAACAAGCGCAGAAAACCTGACGCCAGTTGTAACAATCAGTTATACCTCGCAGGTAATTTTTAAATGTTGCTGTGATTGAGATGCATAACCTCAGTTCATCAAGTGTTTAAGAAAGGAATAGGCAACAATTTTTGCATTTTCATGCCTTTAAGCGTTGTAGAAAGCGTTTCGACATGCTTTTTGAAGGGTATCGCCAATGTAGCTTGATATATAATTCCCGAACAGTCAGTCACAAAGAACAAAATTGCAGTTTATTCGTCATGCATTCATTTGATACTCGCACACTGCAGAAATTCATCAGGACCTCATCTGTAGTGATGCTTATCCCAGCGATCCACCTAAGCGATTCATCAAAGTCTTAGCCGTGAAAACACAATTCATTCTCATTTCCAAGCTGATCTTCTAGATGTGAAATTTAAGCATCATCGGCATACTCAACAAAGTTCATTTCATCATCAGAGAGAGGCAAGTCATGCAATAAGAAAGAAAACAGAAAAGGAGAAAGGACAGCACCTTGAGGGACACCAGGCTCACTAAGCAAAGAAGTGGATGACTTTCCCTGACACACAGTGTACTGCTTTCTTCCTGAGAAATAAGAATGCAGCGATTTGACAACCCAGCAGTCAGTTTGAGTTTCGGCAAGCTTGTTTAACAAAATGTCCCAGGGTTCTGAGTCGAAAGCAGATGTGTAATCTTGGAAGGTGCAGCGAACAAATTTAGCCCTCTTGTCTAAACTGGGGACAATGTTATGGTACGAGACTGCAACTTCATCTAGAGTACTTCTGCTGTGTTTAGGATCGTTAAAGGCTTTAAGTGAAGGTTGAAGATTAAGTAAGAGTAACGTTTCCATAGCTTTTAGAAAAGGAGACGTAATAGCAATAGGTCTTAATTTAAAACATGTTCCAGTAGACGACTTAGGGATAGGTACAATCTTGATGTCCTTCCAAACGGTTGGCACGGCATTCCTGGAAAAAGATTCATTAAATATGTCCATGAGGGGATAACACAGGATGTCTGCACATTTTTCAAGAATAACACTAGGCAAATTATCTGGGCCCAGGGTACAAGAATGGTTCAGAAACTGGAGACTTTTTTGAACATCATTTTTATTGAAATCAGGGAAGCAGGTTTCATTAACACTTGTAACACTAGAAAGTTTCGCATTTGTTGCAGAACATATGAAAGACTTGTTAAGTGTGCAAACATCAAAGGAAAAAGGAATACTATTCATCTGCTTACCACCAGTAATTTCTTTGAAAAGTTTCCATATATTAGACGCATTTTTACAGGATATAAACTTTTGGTTGTTAACTGAATTCAACCTGCGCATTTCAGATTTTATTAGGATGTTAATTCTTTTCAAACCAGTATTGTCCTTCATTTTATATCGCTTTTCTTTTTGTCTGCGAAGCTTTTTAAGTTGAGGGGAGGAGAAACGGTCAAATCTGATGAAGACCGTTTCTCTGGGACAATAGGTGTCAATACGAAATTCGAGATAACTTGTAATATTAGAGAGAGTGTCAACAAGAGAGTCTTCATTAAACAGGTCCCACCTTGTGTCTTTGAGCATGCCCCTAAGATTCTGAACATTCTCCAAAGAGTAACATACATGTACAGTTTTCTTGGAGAGCTGTGAAAAAGTTCTCTTGTCTAACTTTCCATAAATTTTGGTGAAACTTGTACAATGCAATAATCTGAGTTAAAGAGTGGTGCTCTTCTACGATCTTTTTTTGATTACAGCTTGATTCCAAACTGTATTTTCGGTACAAGTATGGAATTTTCACCATGGATATCGATAGCCCAAAATTTGCAGGCCGACCACAGATATCAGGTGTGCGTCGGCAGGGAATCGAACCTCAAACCACGTGCATGGTGGGTGAGAGTCATAAGCACTATGCCACTGACGTATATACGCATACAACAAATTGAAGTTAACGCCTAGGTTTATGAACAAGCGTCAGTGAAGTAATGAGGAAAATGATTTAGGCTGTGTTACAACAGGAGTGGGAGCAAACACCCTGCACCCATTCCAAACAATTCAATTATACACAGAATTCAACTCTTGTGGTTTAAAAATCTTCCTGAAGATTCGAACGGAGAATTTAAAGAGAAGAGGGACAAGGCACTGAGCAGTGTAAAGTCTCCAGTGGCTCACTAGTACCTCCACACCACTGCTACATTCTCATCAGTGGAATTCCATCAATTCGAGATTATTATCAGGTCAGTGTATCCTCACAGAACTGTGCTTTTAGCTCTGGTCCCGAATCAACTTCAGAATACTGTGTTCTCCTTTCCTGAGCAAATTTCAATCTTTCCGATTCACAAAACGCACACCCAACAAATAAATTTGTACAATTCAGCGGTGTCTATTAACTATATCTTTCATCCAGGATTCCTTAGGCACACATGCAAGTGTCCAGGTGAACTGAATTGCATTGCTTTCAATACGACATGTGTTCTGAATGTTGTGTGTGTATTCACCCTTGTATAACAAGCTCTTTAATGGGTGGTCATTAGTTAATAATCTCCGTGAATAAGGCGTTAGTAATAGTCGACCTTTTGTGATACATTTCTCAGTAGGAAATTCTGTTGATGACACGCAGACATTCGCTCAGTCAGAAGGATCCCGTAGGGTAGATTTTTCCGAAGTCAGTGTTTTCACATGGAATTCATGTCATTCTTAATCCATGATGCGAATAAATCTCATTTGGAAATCTGACAGTAACAAAGCTATAGCCAGAGATAATCTATTTTAACATTAAACGAATAAAAGGAAATAACACTTTGTCGAATGTGTTGCTCATCATTCCCTGTCCATCTCGTCCATGTCCACTAAGTGACTTATATTCATGCATGACTTATTATGGAAATGTTTCCATAATGTTTTGTACCCTTTCAGTGTAAACGTGACCTAGTAAAATGTCTGGTTCATAGAGCTAGGTTAATCTGGTCAAACGACTACCTCAATGAGGAGCTTAATGTTATTAGACAATTATGTAGAAAAAATGGGTATCTAGATAAGTTCTTTGAAAAATGATGAATTCAGCATCTAAGAGAGTCAGTATGGCAACAGGTCCGGAGAATACACTGTTCATAAGACTGCAGTTCCTCCGTGACGCCATCAGTGAAAAAATAACACATTACCTGATTGATGCAGTGAAAATAGCTCATTATGCAGCAGAGGTAAGTTGTCTCCATACTACCACCCCTAATCCACTTTCGAGAAATAAGGATAAATTGCCTCCTCTGTGTGTACCTAGCAGCTAGACTCCAGCTGCGGAAGCAGCTACATCTGGTGAACAATTAAGGAGGTTCACCCAGGATGGTTAATCAAGAGAAAAACAAGATCTTTTCTTAGCTCTGTTTAAGCGCACCTTGCAAATGGTGAGCATATGATTGACGTTAATACGACATTTAAAATTATGTTTTGCGTTCACACTAATTCTAATTCAGCTTTACGAGTTCGTCTGCTACAAACAGCTGAAACCATAGGAATCCACCTGAGTAAGTCAAACCTGTGTGTTCAGAAGACATTCGTACAGCTGCTTTCTTTAACTTGGCCATCGCTACATGGATGTATAAACTGGACTACTTCGTCCCCTCCTGCTGAACTTTAAAAACCATAATTGTCCAATTATTTTTTCCTGACTGTTTCACCTGTATTTACACGTTATCACTGTCCAAATTTTTTTATTTGCTTTAATAATCCGAAACGTAATCAAAGTGATCACACGCTTATTCCAGAATTAAAAGTTAATCTGAACGAAAAATATTCTTTTCACTGATTTACATTCATATTCTTACAATTAGGGTATATAATATTTGTTGTCATTACAAAAATGACCAGTTATGCGGAGGATACATTTTTACGTAGAATAACAGATTAGTAGAGACAGCGATGACGATCTAATAGAAAAGCAAATATTCTACGCACAGTACTTTGTCTTAAAATGGGGCTGTCTAACCACCACGGTCTCAAAATATCACAATATTTGTTTCAAACATTTGACTATCTATTCGCGCATCAAACAATCAATATTTGAAAAGGCGAACGACATCAAACGATACTTCTACTGCCCTGTTGACGAAGATAACACAAATTATTATGCAGAGTTGATATCAGAATGGAAGACGACTCTGAGTATATTTCAGTGCAGAGAAACGAAAGTGAAAAACATACTTCAGTGCAATGACTGGTTACAAAATGAGTGCATGCTGAAATAAGTAGGAGAAATGTTAAAATATATAGAGGAATGAGTGTTTGTTATTGGATTATATCATCAGAATAGAGTTATGCATCAAATTAAATAAAGTGAATCTTCTCCACAGGTGTGAGACAATCAGTCTGTGAAAAGAATGTCAGAACGTATTCTACATGCAATGTCAGTGAATGTAGGGTATTCACAAAGAGAAATCAAAGATATATGCAGAATTTAACGCTGGATAACTTGACGACACTGGAGTTAAGCCGAAGTGATAAATTTCTCCATATCGAATTCCGTTGGTGTGTGTCTCACGCTTATCAAATAACCGTGCGCAGTCCATAGCGCCTGCAATTCCTCTTTATTGTAACAATGATTATACTCAGGTTGCAGTTGTTCACTAAGGTAACACAAGTGTGTTTTCACCATGCAAACTTTGTTTTTTATGCATTCTCGCTGGAAATCAGCGATATTCATATTTGCAGCATGTTGCATTGAGGACAAATCGAATTCGGGATCGGCAGTTGCTGTAGAGAGAATCAGAGAAATGCAGTGAATGTATTTGAGAGGAGGAAACAAAGCTAATCTACCATGAAATTCATATCATACAAACATACAAACAAATCATCACCTGAACAAAGTACGAAGTACAATGGATTGGTTAACATGTATGCAGGGCAACATTGGAAAATCAGCTACTGATTGCAAATTTGCATAGACAGATGTATGTAGAGTGATGAAATCAGTTCATCACGATATAAGTAAGCACCATGTTCGTCGATGTGGAAGAGGATTCATCACTAGCAAATGTCACTTTCAAATGTCTGATTAGTTGTTAACGACGACAACTCCAAGAACCCTGTCTTGCCTTTCTCTCAAACAACCACACCTACTTCGTATAAGGCGGTGAACAGACAGAAGAATCAACCAGCATAAAGCTGATCGGTCCTGAGTATCAATCAGATTGGTATGGAATACGTCGATAGAGAATTTACAGAAGAGTACAAGAATACACTGGCACTAGGATAGATATACACGAGTGTAGAAGGTGGACTAATTTCACTGCGTCTCTTCACTACGTACACTGATGTGAAAGTATGCTTGTCATATCTTCCTACGGTATGCACATACTGATTGATGACGACTGGACATCACGCATAACGCTAACATGCGGTAGGCTTGTTTCTTTTAGCTCAGCTGGCACATCGTCTCTCTACTCAACCCGCCGCTGCAGATTCAATTCACTCACCTATTCACACTCTCTTCATCTTCATCTTCAATAACCACTCACTCTCAATCAATCTGGCATATTCAACATATTCATAATATCTCAGTGGATCAATTTAATTCAGCAAAGTACATTGAACTCACGATTAAGAATATCACTTCTGGCTTTATTCGCACATATTTCGAAGCGTTTAAAGGGCTCACATAGCGTCTGTGTTTCAGTAGATTTGCATTCGTTGAAAAGACACAAGAGAACGGTCACCTGTGATAAAAAAATACAAATATCGAAGGGAATATCATTCAGGACAATGACAGAACATACGCTGAAGCAGATGAATACACTTTTCAGAGATGCATTCATTTTCTCCGTTTCCTAGTATACACGACAATGTAAATATATTTCAGATATTATACGCCAGCTAACAGCATTCAGTTTGCATTTATATATATATATATATATTTATAAATATATAAATGTCTGCGTATCTATGAGAACACAAAACAAGCGGGTCAAATCCACGTAGATATGGGCTGATACACTGAATTATTCTTATTGCTAATTAATCAGCAAATTCCTTCTGTAGTAATTATGTGAGTATTATTTCTCCAGATAATTAGGTATCAGATAAATTCTCGGTGCAAGTAATCGATAAGCATTATTGTTAGATAGACTGAAAACGTTTCTGATACCTAATTAGTTAGAAGCAGAAAGTAAAATATGTCTGTAAGAGAAATAATACTCATATAATTACTACAGAAGAAATTCGCTGAATTACAAAGAATAAGAAGAATTCAGTGTATCAGCAGATATCTACGTGGATTTGACCTGCTTGTCTTGTGTCCTCAAAGATACACCGACATTTATATCTTTACGCAAACTGAGTATTGTCTCCTGGCGTATAACATCTGAAGTATATTTGCTCTATTGTGTGTATTTGGAAACAGAGAGAATGTCGGCATCTTTGAAGTGTGTATTCATTTGCTTGAGCGTATCTACTACTAGAAGTGTGTTTAGTAGTACTACAACTCGCATTATTGTCAGTGTGAGTCTCCTGAGACTCTTTCCACAACCCTCACTTCCTATCTTTATGTCTGAAATTCGAAATATTAGAGAATATTCGTAGGTTAGGGAGATGCCTCCAATAGTGTAATTTTGTCTGAAATTGTTTTGTGGCGGTGTGGATTTCAATGACCTACCAAACAGCGTCTCCGAAATTAGTTGAGGCATTTCCTTCTCTTGAACTGTGGCATAGTTAGGTGTTGTGTTCTCATCTTTGGTAAAACCAACACAGAATCGGTGAGTGATTCCTCAGCATTCAGTCGTCATGACTGACTTCATGCAGCTGAACATTGAGAAAAATGTTCTTTATTCTCTTGTGCTTACTTTGCTGATGGTATTTCATAGATATTAGGACTCATTCAATGAGGTGTGATGTTAGACGTGCTTGGGACGTGCTGTTCTGTACTACTGATCGGTTGACATAGATAGTTGGATGACACTGACAACAAGCTGTAGCTCTTGCTAGTCACATCGAAATCGCTCAGTTTCCAAACAACGATCCCGCTTATTTCTTGCGTTTTTTGGAATGATGTTCGTGGTTTACTTCAGCTCACAGAACCTCATAAACTCTGACTACTCGAATTCTGGCTAGCTATTGGATTCAGCCAGGACTGCAGCTTTTGCTAAGCAAGCAACTCGTCGCTCCACCTCTTTGCATCTACATCCTAATTCATGGTATGGCTATGATTTCAAATTTTCTCACCTTCGTCAAGCTGATGAATCAGATGAATTACTTTACATCGCTTCATTTATCGAATTAATTTTAGAACAACAAGGAATTACACATGAATTCAGAGTACACAGAAGTGCTGTGTTTTTCAAAAATGACTTTCACATATGATTCATCAGTGTCTTCTGAGATATCTTCATCGGGTGTTCATCCAACTTGAAGTTTTAAGTCATAAGGCGGAATGGGTCCTTCTGAATGTATCCGTCAATTACTAGTTCACATGGCATCCAAACACCAATTATTTCTCCACATTCTACAAATTCCCTTTACTTCAAATTACTCCATTTATTTCAAGTCTTTGTGTTTCCACATTTCACTTTTTATATTACTGTGTGTGTGAATGTAAGGCTCAGTGGATAACTCAGTGGATATTCATGTCGGTGAAGTAGGTCAGTATAGCCATCGACTGAAGTAGTGTTTCTTGTGGTTAATCATGTTCATTTAGAAGCTGATATGAAGTTCCGTTTCGTTTCCGTTCATTGCTTTTGTCTGTAGAATACAGAGTGATGAAAATATTTCGTGATGTATCGACATCTATCTCAGTTTACTTCAGTGAAATGTTTATCCTGAATGCCTAACTGGCAAGTAGACTGACAACCACAGTGGGTAGATTTAAGTGGCTCCTTTAGCAACAAGAACGTTTTTCACGATGAGACATTCATAGGGCAACTAGGACTGTGGAATCGTTTTGAATATGAATTCACAATGTTGGTGCAGCCTTATCCTTCTTAGTTACACCACAGTCGGAAACTTCACTGATAAGATTCGCGAGTCTGAAGAAGGATTAAATCTTTAAAGATCAGAAAGGAGAGAAGTCGAAATTTCGACGATGATCTAACTCTAAATATCATTTGCATACTAATAAAGTGACGGCTGATTTCTCTAACAGGATTCGATCTCCCTGTGAACTGTCACTCCGTTGAAAGTGGTTAGTTTTAATCTCCGTAAGAGGTGATTACGAGCTTCCGTGATACATCCAGCTATCAAGTCCTCATCCAATTGCAAGACACCTGAAGTGACGAATGTGATAAAAGTCAAAGTGTTGGCCTCACTACTGAATCTGAAGTGGAAAGGGAACAACATGCACTAGCACAAGCACAGAAATGTAGATCACTTGTCATTACGAGATAGAAGCTATAGAACACCTAACACTGGACCCTACAAAAATGTCAGGCTAATAACGTCAAGGGATACTTAGATTGAATTAACGCTCGAGACAAGCATACTGTTGAAGTCAACAAATATTTTTATATTTATTTTTTCTAATACTCCTTTTAAATGTTCGATGAAATTATATGCAATATTGTAGATATGCGCTGAAAATTCCACACTGTACCACAAGTACTGTTTCTGGAATAAAAGCGAAATTATTGTTATTATGATGACGAGAAACTCAGAGTATTCTTTTTATTTCAACCAACACCAAACGCTTTCACTGCGAGTAGGTTTAATGGACTACCACATGCTATCGAAGCCTTTGTTCCATCAACTCCAGTTGTGGACTTCACTCATTCTCCAACACATGACAATTTTAGTTTTGTTTCACGACTAGTGAAATCTTATGAAATGAAGGTGGAATATGAATTTGAGAACTTGTATGCATTCAAGAAGACCGTTTCCTCAGCCTGGATTCAAAAACACGAAGTGATAGCAATTTTTTGTACTGACGAGTGGTTCAATCAAAGATTTTTAAAGTATGTTATATAACCCACTAATTTCGTTTAGTGAACCAAGCATTCCATCGCCTTTGGATGCAGATGAAATTTAGAGAGCATTAGAACTGTGTTCACGCTCCACATTGCTTATATTTAGGAGAGTTGTTGTCAGTCGTACAAAACGTATTGTTATGGGATAACCATCATCACCTTCAGCAGCCAGTCTGTTAACACACTCATTAGAATCAAAAGAGACCATCATTTGAGGCAACCTGTTACGATGTTGGTCGTCCCATACTTCCATCCACATATCGTATCCAGTTCATCCTGTTTTATTTGTATAGATCCATCGAAGTGTGACGTGAGTTTGCACTGTTTACTCTCGTGAATTCATAGATTGTTTAGGAACAGATGAATTCTACATTTCTCACCTGACTAAAGAAAAGCATCATGGTTTGTGGCAATGTGGACTAAATTGCACACCTATATATCGTTTTACGTAGCCGGTTATCATTAGTACAAACTGCCGTTCTCTTCCTGACCAGGTTGTGCAACACAATGTCTTTTATCCCCTATACTCACCCCAATAAGGTGATAATCACGCTACAAAAAATGTGACTTCATAAGATTTATGGTGAAAATATGGTCTCACCAAGTGGTTTCACATTTTTCATACAAGATTGTCTGTGTTCCGAAGAGAAATATGGCGGTATGATTGCAGCTTTCCTTCATTACCAGCGATAGCTTTCAAACAATATATGTTCTTCATTCACTAGCGACTTTATTGATTGTATTACAGTCGAATGTCGTCGCACACACAGACCAAAGCATGAACACATTTTCAATTTCAAAATTTACGCCTCTCCTGACTGTTACCTCTACGATCTATCTGATTGTGCAGATGAATTTACCGCCTTTATTGATACTCATCTTGAGAACTCTCTATCAACAGTCACTGGTGAATTCATTCACTGCGACGGTACTCACCGTGAATCAGTGAGTCGTGTAAACATTGTCAACGCACCCAAACACAGTCGTGGGATCTTAACTGTTTGCATACGTGTTGTTCTAACAGAGTAAGTGTCTGCAGAATGGTCTTATTTGATATCAAGAAGGACGAACTGCCCAGACTGGATATATATGGATGAGGCCCGGATGTTTGAATTGATGTGGCGCTGTAATGTTAGCTATGGCATGAAAGACTTCACTAAGAAATAATAAAAGGAATAGGCTTCACTAACTTTTCGTGTCCAATTTATTATCTCTATTATCTGTACTTTCAAAGGTAACAACAAGTATTCTTTTGAAATTAACAATGTTTTCAATATGTTTGTGATATAAGTGTAGTTTTAGAGACTTAAAGTGATATACAGACGACTTGAAATATCAACCAGCAGCAATGGTACTACTGGATCAGAAGCCAAATGCGCCTAATATAAATGAAAACGAGCAACTGGCATTAAGAAACCTACAACAGGATAAATCAGTTGTAATTACAAGAGCAGACAAAGGCAACATCACGATTGTCATAAACACTGCAGATAACGGAAAGAAAGGCAATGATCATCTTAACGACGGACCTTATGAAAAATTCAACGTGAATAAATCAAGGTCGACGTTAAATTAGCTGAGGGCTGAAACAAGCAAAATGTTACAGTCAATAAAAGAGAAACTCGGTGTATCGCTTTGGTTTACTTTGGCTTCAAAACACTGCAGCCTCTGTAGATTTTATGGGTTAACAAAAATACACAAATCCGAAGTCCTATTACGTCCAGTAGTGGATTCTACTAACTCTCCAACATACAAACTCTCTAAATACATTTATCGAATTCTTAGCCCATAAGAAATGAAAGTGGAGCATGAAGTGAAGAATTCGTATGAATTTAAGAGAAAAATAAACTTGACTAATATTGAAG